ATAGCAGTAGTCTTCTCCGCGACGGAATCTGAAACGTCAGACAAATGTAGTTCTTGTCCCAGCGATTGCACATGCTTCTTTTCAACTACTTCCTGGGATCTGCATTTCCACCTGTATTGATTACTCTTCTCAGCGCTAATTTGAAAGACCCCCTGCAGAGGATATTTGAAACGTAAAGAAAGCTGATTCTCCATGCTTCACGCGAAGCATAGTGTCCATGTGACATGGACGGGTGTTTCTTCAGGATACCAAGGTTATGTCGTGCTTGATCCGGAAAAATAGTGTTCGCAAACGCTAAATTCAACATCGTTAATTGCTCTGAATTGTTCTATGAGTCACCACGGAAAAGGGTGACGAGAAATCGCAAAATAAACTTGCATTTTCTTTCCGGAGACCGGGTGAAGCTTCCTACAAGAGATTTAAAAACGGGCATTTTGTCATAACGAACGTCTAGTCAGGAATATTGCTGTTTAACACAACAGCACATATTAAGGAATGAAGTAGAATGTAAACTGCTGACTTCCTCATCATTTTATTCATTTTCTTTAAGAAGGATGCTTGTAGTGAGTTTAAGTTGTCAAATGGTTCCTCTCGTTACTTATTATGCGTGTAGAACCTAGACAAGACCAATGCTGGGATGAGTCAAATAACCTCATTATCCGTTTTATCATGTCTTTTAACAAAATAGACTGAATATGCGTTTGCAAATAGATTTAATATCCCCGCGGGTAAAATAAAAAACTCAACGGACCTTCCAGGTGTCTGAACAAATAATTCATATTTTAAAACGTAATATATACAGCTGTGCATCTTCAGCAAGAACGACGCGAGAGTATTTAATTGTGGGAAGTAGAATTTACGTGATATGAAGTCGATCGCGAGGTAAGCTGACACGTGACTCCAACGGTCATCGCCCTTATAAAAACCACGTTCACTTGAGCTTAATTAATTTCGTTTTCGCAAATCTTATAGCCCGAGATAATACTAGCCGTTTATGCCGTGACTTGACCCACAGACTTATGATGGTATTCCTTCAAATCGAAAAATCAATTAATATCCTGTCAGAGACGAACAGCAACTAAACACAAAAAAAGCATCCCATTCTGGAAATTTGTTTGCACTGCGAGGCGAGACACGGATTTTCCAATTTGACTGACAGCTGCGTAGCTCAGCCCAGGGAAAGCCTTTCTGCGCACAGAGTAGTTTATCTCACCACTAGGTCTTTTGATCGCTGCAGTGATTCATCAGCGGCAAATTCAATGACTGAGGTTCTCCTTCGTCAAGCAAAGGCAGGTTACTCATCTCATTTGAGTGCTGACCGGAGCTAAAAGTATCAAAATCGGTACACTGGCTCGTCGTCGTAAAC